TTATTTTTACTTGTCAAACCTTGAAACACTTTCACAGGCATTAATGATTGTTGTGTTTTTCAGTGGTTTTGAAATGTACCAAAGTTCTGTGTGTCGAGGTCTCATGTTAGGTTTCGCCATAAAAGGAGACATCAATGTCATTGCACAGCAACTGTTACCATCACTGCACACAGAAAGAAGTGAAACACAAAAAAGTGTCAAACCACAAATATGCATGTAGCTTTTATTACACAGAGCCTCTCAATAACTCTTCTTGGTTATATTGTGCTCCTGCTCTATGTTTATGTCTATGTTTAAAATGTAGACTGATGAGCACAGGACACACAATGCTTTTTGATGTTTTATTTTTTTGCCTTTGATTTTTAATAAAAATAGTTTAGGCAATGTGGGTGCGTTCAAACTATTACATCTGTATATCATACAGTATTTTGAAGAAAATAGATGCTGAAAGAAGAAATCCAAAGCAGAATATGTGTGTGGAGATTGAAATATAATCTCTGATATTATATATTAGTTGCCTGGGCAGATCAGGAAAACCACAGCTTTTCCATCTTCCTTTGTTTGCTCCCCGGTAGATTATCTACTCCTGCAGGCTTCCTCTTTTCCTGCTGCCTGACAGCTCGATATTCAGCACCCTCAATTACACCTCTCCAGTATTTAAAAACCTCACCACATGTCTAAACCCTCTTAGACTTGCTTCTCTAACTTTGTCTCCTAAATCCTCAACCTGAGCTGTTCCCTCTGATACTTATTTTGAGTCTTGTACGTTCGGGTTACTCCCATTGAAGATCTTAACATCCAGATCCAAACTGTAAATCATAGCATGTCTCACTACAATCTTGCAAACCTTCACTTTTGCTCTTCTTGCTAGCCTTCTGTCACACCTGAAATTCATCTCCACACACTCCACCCTACCTGCACTCAACAAAAACATAGTTAAGCCAAACTGGGTTTGAAATATAACATTTGATTTTAAAACCTGAACAATGGAAACACTGTCAGCTCAGTAATTCTTACATAATGGTGCCCTCTAGTGATTAAAAATTATGCAGCTTTGGACTTCTTTACTGGCCACCTTATTTGCCTTGCTTTATTTCATAAACATGATCCCTGACAAAACATAACAGCTTAACTAAATTGATATTACATACATATTATCAATTACATTTGCACAATTCTCACAGCAGAAACACAATTCTCACCACTCTTAATGCAGTTCAGAAATCAGTAACACATTAGTCATTCTCATTGTTTTCACACACTACTGTTGTTTCTGCACATGGTTAATGTGTAGAAATATATTTGTAAACCAAAATAAAATCTGTTACAGCAATAGAAATCACCACTTTTGATACTCACTCTCATCTGCCTTAGACCTCCTCCATAGATGCTGGTAAAGAACAACACAGATGTGGAACCTTTTGTACGGTGTACATTTTAGGACATCGTCAGGTCTCAGGAAAAAAGCTGTCAGGTATGGACTGTTTGAATGACATCCGTGTTAACTGTTTTGCAAAACTGTGGGTTAAAACATTTCCAAGAGGTATCTTCTGTACTACTGATATAATGATGATGAAAACTGAGGGAACCCAGCATCTTTAGGTGGGTCAAAGCAATCAAGAAAAACTGCAAAAATAAAAAAAAATTTTTTCCCAAATATGTATGACAGAGTAAATACAGAAAAACAATATTTTCATATTTTTCACATTTTTTTTTTTACCATCAAACTGTTATACAAATACTGCTATCTGTTACTTTCTGTTACGAGATAATAATATTAGGTTCACAGAGGTTTAGCTCAAAAATTTAACTTTTTCTTAAAGGAAATGTTCATCACAACCAGTTTCAACCTTCTAGGAAAATCCATGAACATCTGTCCTTCTGCATTTCTCCTCATAACACCCTGTGTCATTCATATGCCCAAGAACCACTGCCTAGAGATTGCATAGAGATTTTTGATTTAATGTTACATAAATTTGAACTGAACTGTGGTAAACGTACCACAGCAGACCCGATAATATGTACATGAACATGCTTTTCAACATACTTTATTGACACTCTCATGGTTGCTGTCACAAACACACGGCTGCAGCTCTACAGCTGCCAGCCCAACATTAGAACACAGACTTTAAACTGGTGAAGGGTGATTGTGGATGCCATTCAGGTGCGTCCGCCTCCCCTGCACTGGCACCGCAGACCACGCCATGCCACAACTGTATTTAAACAAGTTAGGGAATCTTTTTTTTGAATGTAAAATTTATTGTGCAGATATCAAAGAAATCACAAACTTTTAACACAATGTATTCTCTTCCTCTGTGACTGAAGAGTCAGCTGTGGGCATTTGGATCTTTTATCAATGACCAATGTGTTTTTTGGTCATTGATAAAAGCCCCAATGGCGTGTCTGCATATGCCGCCGGGTAAGAAAGCCGACATCTCACAGATTCTGATCTGTCGGGTCCACGCTTTGTGTTTCCATCTTTTTGTGGAATCCGTTTACCTGCTCTCGTTTACTGTTTTAGCTGTTTGGTGGTTGTTGAAATAGTTTTGTGAGTTTTAACCTGAGATTCTGGCATTTCTGGCAAAATGCATTAAAAATCGATACAGAATTTTAATGAATGATATGACATTCTTAAAGCTAAAATCAATTTTAATTGGAAAATCGATTATTGAAACCCACCCCTAACCTAAATCACCATATGTTTTTTGGATGGTAGCATAAAGAAAACCATCTCCTGTTGGTTGAGGAAGACTTGATTAACTCCAGCTCTGCTATTTTCTCTCCTTACTTCACCCGCCACAACACCAGTGTAGACTTGGCCATCTTCATTCTCTGCAGAGAAGAAAAAAGAATCGGTAAATGATTAAAGTGAAAAATAGCAGCTTGGAGAATATCAAGCAGAAAAACAAATAACACAGATGGATCAGACCTACTGAGGAGATGGCTCAAGAATCTCAAGATTATGAACTAAAGAGACTGAGTAAAAAAGAAAAAAAAAATCATATTAAATCTACAGTCATTTTTTTTTTACTCAAAGAACATGTACATGCTAAAACAATCTCTACATAATACTTTGTATTATGAAAAACATGCACATTAAAAAATGTCCAGCACAATGGTTAGTAATGAATTAAGAAGTCATTAAAAACACACGCACTTTCTTTCAGAAAGTCAAAAACGTACCATCTGTGGTTATATCTGTGGTTAAACCTTTTACAAAGGTTTAAGGTTTACAAAATCTTCCAGGAATCTGTAAGAGTGAAAAAATGTGGATATGAGAGATAGCCTCCAAAAGTTGATTCTGTTCATCTGGACATAGCGTTTTCAGTGGGAGAAATGTTTCGTCACTCATCCAAGTGACTTCTTCAGTCTCAGCTGACTGAAGGTTTCCCCAATCTTATAAGCAGTACATTTGCATAATGACTGATACCAGCCCACTGATGGAACAAAGGGCTGGGAGGTACTCATGGCCATTGATCAGTGGGCTTTGATCAGTGGGCTTTGATCAGTGGTTGTTAATCAATGGTCATGAGAATTTGCATAAATATGATGAAGGAACTGACCTCCCAGCTCATTGTTCCTTCAGTTGGCTGGCATCAGTCATTATGCAAATGTACTGCTTATAAGATTGGGGAAACCTTCAGTCAGCTGAGACTGAAGAAGTCACTTGGATGAATGAACAGGATGATTGAGCATCCGTCAAGACTGTGAGAGATAGCCAGTGATCTCCTGACATGTGCATATTTATGGTAAAGAAAGTTGATCTTCAAAAAGTATAACTCAGCAATGGCAACTGATCAGGAGGCCAGACACTAAGAAAAAAAACATCTCCTAAGAGATGGTATAATAGGCTCTCAAATTCATGATTATTCACCTTTCATATAGTAATGGTCCACCCTATCCTCTCTTTTGAAACTACTCATAACTACATAAAAGAAATGTGATGCTTTGTAACATGTTTGTAACATGTTAAGTAACAGAGTTTTACTGAATATAAAGGTCATAAGCAACAGTGACACCTCTGTAAACCAATAGAGGGAAACCTCACACCTCTTCCTACTTTTGTTCACTTCTCAGCTTTCATTAATAACGTTTGTGATCAAAATGGCAGCAAAGGCTCGCTAAAAGTAACTTATAACTTAAATACAAAACAACAGCAAGCAACTAAATTAAAGCTCCTGCTTTTATTGGTGTGAAAGGTTTCACATTATTACTCTTTGTAATAATAGCAGCAAAAGGCCTACATCTGTAATTAGAGTCCTTTGAGACAAACACAATACGAGTTTATGATAGTGTCAAATTAAAGGCTTCAACTTGATAGCAATGTTCATGTTTCATCTTTTTATTAATTTGAATTCATCTTATTTTTTTGTAAAATATTTGTCTTTGTCTAGCCACCACCTAGTGGCTAGTTTTAAACTTTGAATTTTGATTTATTGTATTATTTCATTATTTGATCAATTCATGGAGACCTTTAAAGCTTTGCGTTATTTCACAAATGTTTGTAAAAGTGGGCTGCATGGCTAGGTGCGTGGTTCAATATGCCCGTGGCAATGTAACTGAAAAAACCCAAATTCAAATATTAAGAGATGCTTTTGTCTATATATATATACTGTTTATATAGTGTACATTACAAACGTCACTGCTGTTTAGTTTTCTGTCTTCATTTATGTCGGAAGTGATGGCAGAGCTGTACGTCTTAATTTGTTTCAGAAATCTCTCAGTCAGAACATGTATTTAGATGGAAACTAACGAGCTAACTCCCTGCTAACTTCTAACTCAGTTAAATTTAATAAATTCTGTTTTCATGAAAGCCTGGATGTTAAACTTAACTGTTACTGTTAGAGAGTGTCTCTGGGATGCTGGGATGATAGCTCCCTCAGGACTTAAACTCCGGTCAGAGAGTGGGGCACAGAGAGTGATGTCCGGATAGACTTTAATGGAAGTTAATAGCAGCTCAACAGTACAGCAGTAGGCATACTTAACGAATGTGGGAGGGGGTGGACAGACGTGTGGTTCTGAATAACAAGGAGAAACAATTTTCACATATAAATATAACACTCGTCACTTCCCAACATCATGCCAATATAATGCTCTGTAACCCAAATAATCAGCTGAATGCTCTGACATAAGAAAGTCCCACAATCCCATTTAAACAGGCAGGAAACAAGAATATCTATATATCTCAGACAACAGAAAAGACCTAATGCCCCCAAATTAGGAAAGGTCAGCAATTACATGGTCTTCAGTGCCCTCTTGTGGCTAAATAACACAACCGCGGTACACAGATCCAACCCGCAACAAATGCTACGGTGGTAAGTCACATGCCTCTACCACTCTCGATAACTCCTAGCATAAACCCCCTGTAATCAATGTCAAAGTACAACCCGTGCTATAAGTGGAAATAGACTCGTAGAACCGGAGGGATTTTGACTCACATTTGCACAGGAACGCACACGGCTGGAGATCGCTATTCCCCCACACTCATGGAGAAAAACATGGCTAGTGCTCCTCGGACTCGTGATACGGCAGGAGCGTCGTAAAAGCATGTGACGTCATCACCGCAGCAAACAGTAAGAACAAAGTGGAACTTATCGGCAGAAATTAACACTGCACTTATAGCGATGCGATTGAAATATAAGGAGACTTTCGGACAGTTACACCTGGTAGAGCAGCCACACTGATCATTTTATTACAGATGAAAGAATTTAGAAAGTTTTTAACTCTCAGTGATGCCGCAGTGATCGTTTGAGTTATGGACCTGCAACAGGGTTTGGGCCCAGACACAGCTGATGACGTCAGACTTAAAGACCGGATAGAAACAGTGGGCAGCTATCATAGTGCTTCGTTCCAAGTGACATTTAACCTCCTAGGACCTAGCGTACACATATGTGGACATCACATTTTGAGTTATCTAGACCAAAATTCTAAATTTTGCTCTATAAGGGTCTGATATCCACTCACGAGGACATTATACTGCCACTGTTCTATCGAAATTTAAAGCGAATGTCCTCACATGTGGATCTCATTTTTTGTCAGAAACAAAAATCAGGTAAAAACAAACAAACAAACAAACAAAAAATCACGTGAGTCTTTGTTTTTACATTCATCAGGTCCCAATCAGCCCAAATAGCAAAAAGAATTAAAAATGCATGCCATGAAAGAGTTTGGGTCTTAGGAGGTTAAAGTGTAAATAGTAACTATACCACTATGGAAGAATGTGAACATGATTTATTGAGATAGAGAAGTAATAAATCTCTTTGGCGATTAGACTCTGATGACTCATTGTGGCAGAACCGAATCCCAGCAGAGATAGGATTTAGGGCAAGACTGCTCAGAGTCTAAAGGTGGTGGTGGTGAAGATGAAGATGAGGTGTCTGTGAGATGGAGATGGGGAGGAGGTGGCCTGCAAGAATAAGAGTCTGAAAGGGAAAATGATGAAGAGAGCAGATTTAAACTATGCAAAGTGGAGGCTGATTGGCCCAAAGAAGGTGAGCAAGAAGATGATTGGACTAGAATAAAGATGACAGTATTGAGAATTGGGAATGCGGCAGTGATGTAGAGAACAGAAAAGCAGGCAGATGAGTGACTACAGATCTTCCCTAGTGAACTAGGCACAACCTCTGACCATGTTTCTTGTTTTAGTGATCATCTTCAGATAAGAATGTGTGAACTCAGACCAGACAAGATGTGACTAGAATAAAACTGCAGCGTGAGAAGACAGACTGAAGTTATTAATTTAGTAATACTAAAACTCTAAAATTCCTAAACAAGTCGTGAAATTTTATTGTCCAACTTATTATGACTTTTTCACTGACAGTTAATATCTACAGCTAAATTAAATTAACAACTTAAAGGGGTTTATAAGCACTTTGAAGTTGGTTTAACTCAGACATTACAAAATAAAGCGTGTAATTAAGCCATAATTGCTTTTAATTTAAGAAATGTAAATGAGAGATTCCTTTAAACCTTGAAACACCTTCACAGACATTAATGCTTGTTGTGTTACTCAGTTCTGAAATATTATCTGAAGCTCTGTTTGTTGAGGTTACATGCTAAGCAAAACCATCATTGTGCACAAGGAAGTGAAGCAATAGTAACTGCCACTATACAAACCACAAGTACACATGCAGGTTTTAAAATAAAGATCCTCACTTTTATTCTTTTATTCATTTTTGTTATATTCTTTTGTGTCACTATATTTAAATCTGGACTGATGAACACAGGCTACAGCACATATTTTAATGAATTTAAAAAAATAAAATAAAAGCAGTTTGTACAATGCTTGTCTGTGTTCATGATTACATTACAATACAAAGCAGTATATTGAGGAAATGAGACACTAGTCTAAGAGGACAAAAAAAGAAGATGAGGTTTAACGTCTGATGTTTTATTATAAATGAAAACATGAACATAACTATTATAAACTGTCTGCTCAGGATTACCTCTTCTTCTTTTATTATTATTCTGTGCCACAATTCTGAACAAATGTAAAAGAAATTTGCAGGTGCAAGTGTTGCATTTTGAGGAGAAATTTATTTTGAGTGAAGAAAAGCTAAATTTGAGCAAACAAAATTTGTTGCTGTGTGCAAAAATGTATTTCGGTGTTTGCTACTTTCCATACACACACACACACACACACAATAGCAACCCCTCTTGCTCAGTTTTTTCATTTGCTCTTGCTCGCAATGTGTTGCTTGCGCTCTCATCATTTCTGCCCCTGCCTGTTCAACTCTTTCTGTACACCGTTATATTTGTGCCACAAAACCAGCCAATCACAGATTTGGATGCAAAAAATTCTGATTGGCTGTTTTGGTCTCCAATCAGCTCACTAGCTGCTATAGGTAAACCCAGGCAAATATCCCAGAATGCATTTCATCCAAAACTCCAATGAGGCAGTGGTGGAGGAACGCAGAGTGGCAGAGTTTGAAATATTACTTTTTCTTAATTACAAAATAAACTTTTAAGATATTTTCAGGTGAGAATGGTGCTGTGTAAACTTCCAATATCTGCTCAATTTATCGAGACATCACATGTTTGCAAAAGTGTTCTAACGCTTTCAAACCCCACAAAAATAACGCCTTATTCTTCTTCTTCTATCTGATACTTTTAGGGGCTGTCCCAGGAAATCACCGGGCTCCATCTTGTGTCTTTCTATCCCTAGCATCTTTACCTATCATATTAGCTCTGTGAACATGCAAGTTCAAGTCTCCTGCCTTACATCATCAACCTGTCCACCAGCACTCCGGACAAGAAGCGGCTCAGAACCAATCACTAAGGAGGAGTAATGGCATATAGATGAATTGAGCACTAATGCTAATGCTTAATAGTGTGACATTATTAGAAAGTGCTAATTAAAGAAAAAATTCATTGTTTAAGTTTTAATCCATTTTGCAAATATACTGTTACAGTGCAGTAAAGAAGAAGCTCTAACATGCAAATGTAACAAAACAACAACAACAACAACAACAACCGTGTGATTTTAGAAGCAGAGTTGAACTGCATAAATGTTATTCTGGCTTTGAACATTTCCTTGATATTTGTACTGAGGCTGAGGCTCAAAACATTTAAAATGTGTATTAAACTATATCCTAGGTTATTGCCACAGTGTTGAAAATTTGCCATCCCTGGATCCAGACTGATGACAATACATTATTAATAATGTTATTACTACTATTGAAACTATTACTACTATTGAAATTCATTTTATGTTATATTACAGTCATAACCTTTGTTTACAAAAAACATTTACAGTACTATAGTCAAACCTAGCGGTAACCTAATACAGGATACACATATGTCGTGGTATAATTTGGAAAACAGTGAAAGTTAGAAAGACAAGATTTTATGAGCTTTGATGATTTGTGTGATGGGAAATTACATTGTATGAAAGACCTCATCTTGGGGTATCTTGACATCACCTCCTCCCTCGGTGGACCTTCAGTAGTGCAGTCTATGTAAAAGCACTGATTTAACTGATTGACATCCCTTGATTTTATGAACCTTGGCGTGTGCCAAGGTCACTTTGAAGAATTGACACGGGCATACTCTGCCTCCACCTCTATCTCCACTCTTTGCGCAACTTGCCCCCCGTGCTGTTGCATAAACCTAACATCAGCATACATTATTGCCTGGTCATCTTCCTCTGCAGAGAAGCAAGAAGAATAAAGTAACATCAGTGAGTCATTAAAATAATTGTTTGAGTTTTTATCAAACTTGATTTCTTAAAGTTTACCATCATTTCTTTTGCAAACTGAAAATGGAAATTGTTTCACTGATTCTGACCAAAATGCACCCAAGAATATGACTTTTAATAATGCTCACTTCTGGCTTTTTATGGCAGAGGTATCAACAAACTCTTGGCAAAGAATCAAAATGGTTTATTTCAAAAACAGTAAAAGCAAAAATTGTTGTTAAAAAGAGCAAAATCCCACTTAACTGCAATAAAAATTGCAGTTAAGTGAGTAAAAATTATTTATTTTTTTTACCTTCATGTTTTGTACCCTTGTTGTTTTGTTTTTTTCTCCAAGCGAAGATGACTGCTACACCCACAACTAAGACAATTATCAGTGGTGAGAGAACACCACCCATCAATGGTAACATTCCTGCTACTGAAATAAAAGAAATAAAAAAACAAACAAGTCAACATGTGTTTTTATGGCAAAAGAGAGGGGACATCAAAAAATCCACTTCATTAAAGTTAGTTTTACTTTATAATTGTTAAGTCAATATTATTGACTGATGGGATTACTCTAATATTTAATTTAGATAAATTAAAGAATACTTAAACAAACACATGAAAAACAAGTATTGAATTCTGCAGACATTACTACTGACTGGCAGGAATGTGACCTTGTTTAGATCTTTCAGTAGGCCGACCTCAGCTCTAGGTACCTTGTGTAGCAGAGTGCAGTACAAATATCTGAAGAAGACCAGTTGGTGTCTTTTGTCAATCTCTCAAGACTACTATTAGCTGGATTACTGGGAACTTACGTCAAATTAGTTGATGATTCACTACTTACAGTGTTCTCACTCACCACAGGTAGATATCCTCTCTTCTTTGGAGACATTACTGACGTTGTTCTTGACTGAGCAGACCAGATGTCCTGAGACGTGCTGTTTCAGAGTGATGATGTTACTCTCATTATTTACAGAAAGGAGCTCAGCATCTGACAGTGAGCGTCCATCCAGAGTCCAGCTGTACTGAGGACTGTCCCCTCCCTGAGAGGAGCAGGACACCCTCATCTCTCCCTGGGACAGACACTCAGAGAGCAGCAGGACAGAGGACACAGGAGCTGAGAGAAACACACACAGATGAGTTTAGATTTTAAATCAGAATCTCTGTCATGTTTTATAGTCTCTAAAAAGAAACAGGGAAAGAACAAAATACATGTATTTGATATTTTGTGATATATTATTTAGTTTGCCAACAGAACAGAAAAAATACCTTGAATAAACAACTGTAAAGTCCACTCGACTGAACTTTCTCCACGTGAATCAAAGGTTTGAAGGGTATAATTAGCACTGTCATTCCTGCTCAGGTTATTGATCCTAAATGTTCCATTACTGAGAAAACAAAGTCTATGTTCTGTGCTATTATAATTTTTTTTCACATTGAACATTTCTGAGATGCTGCCCAGTTGAATC